GAAATGCAAGAAAAAATGCACATAATTTAATATTCCATACAAGGAAGTCGTGGTGTACACATCAGATTTTTATATATGAAATTTTTCTTAAAAGGATTATTTAGACATATATTTTTATTAATATTTCTCTTAAATTGATACACATTATAATCAGTAAAGTTCAACTGCAATTTAAACATAGGAACACAAGATGAAAACAATAATAAATAATTCAAATGAGAATTAACAATATAAAATATCAGATTTCTACGAAGTCTTCCAACTTTATAGGGCAATTTAATTAATTCAATGATAGAAAGAACTCTACATAGAGAGTAATTTTCTTGAGATTTCATGTTGACTAGTTCACAAGTTTCATGTTCACAACTATCAATACAACTTAAAGTACTTTCAGAAATTACATTAACTACCTGCATGAAAAATCTGATGTGCACACTACAACTTCCTTGTACGGAATATTAAATTATACGTATTTTTTTCTGCATTTCATATAATTTATTTCCTCAAATTTGATTATAGATGTATTTCCCATTCAATTAATTCAGTTCTCAAGTCGCAGGAAGGCAAAAATACATAGAAACTCAAAATATCTTCAGTAAAAGTTGAAAACTATAAAACAGCAAAAGGACCTGAAGGTGCAGATCCACTATTCTGCTGTTTCAAATGTAAACAAGCAATTTCCGCCATCAAAAAAATTAATAGGCTTAGTGGCACTTAAAGAACTTTAAAATTGCTGATAATTCTAAAAATATAACATACAGATTTACTAAAGGCATAAAAACTTTAACCGGAAGATAAGAAGAACATAATTCAATCATTTTTAAAGCAAAAAATGTTCAATTTACAAACATAAAAGAGTAAAGAAACTGAGATCACTGAGAATGGGTAACAAAGTGGATATATATATATGTAAATATATTTAGATACGTTTGGTGCGGCCAAATGCAATCAAAATACAAGGTGCATATCTACATGTTATAGCAATCCTATATACAAAATTTCAACATTCTGAGGCGATTCGTTTTTGAGTTACGCGAGATATGCACGTACCTACATACGTTCGTACAGATGCCACGAAAAATTCTCTTCAGAATTCATTTTAAAGCAGTTTTATAATTTTTTTCGGAGGGAAAGAGTCTTTTATTCTGTCCTTACATACAGATATCATGCAAAAACATCGTTCAATTGCATTCAATAGCAGTCAAAATGGATATTTTCGTTGAAATACGACACCCTAAAATTTTCGAAATTACAATACTTCCTTAACTTTATACAAGTAATTTAACAGCAGGAAAGTTATTACAGTACAAAGTACAAAATCCAGACTCGTCAGAAAATCGTCGATTACGGATTTGGGATTTTTCTGTATATTAGATCATCAGTTTAAATCTAGTAAGATGGCATGTACAAATTATAAAATTAAAAATATGAAATCACGATTTACGAAATAATAAGGAATTTATGATCTAAAGCAGAGCTTCTCAACTTTTTGACTAACGCTTACCTTCTAAACAAAAACTGAAACCCTTTAGTACTACCACTATAAAGCACTACTACCACCACCACTCTTGAACAAAGCTCAGATCGCATAAATTTACGAGTGGCAGAGAAAAAACTCCATTAGAATGTTGGGGTTTTAATTTTTGAAATTAATAGTAAAAAATACTTTGCTTCTTTGCATACCACCAGCTGAGAACCTCTGATCTAAAGGGTATCAAAATTTACAAAAAAAAGCTCAATATTTATTTGTTTATCTTATTAAACATTTCTTTCAATGTAAGTTGTTTAAGTTGCTTCGTTTTTTGAGCTAATACTTTCTCTTTAACTCTGTAGACAGACATAATCTCTTGTTCAGTTACATTGTTGAAGTCCTCGAACTGCTATTTTGAGAGAGTTCTGACTAACTTGGCAACCGAAATTTTCTCATTTTCAGTAACTTCTCTGTCACTTTCTGCACTATTGGTAGTGGTATTTTCTGCATTTAGAACCATACTACAGATTTTGCCAATCATTAATTGACTAATTGATGATTTATCCGTTAATTGGAAAATTTTACCTTTGTTTTGCGAATTCCGAAAACCTTTAAAATTAGCGGCTATCATCATAATCAATTTTAGCTATCCTTCACTATACATATTTGGCTATGCATTATGAGCTTGGCGACTAACGACAAGTTGTTCCACTAAATTTTATCTTGCTTCTATCGTGCACCGAGACAATTAAGCCTGAATTGTATTAGTTATTTATTATACTTATGTCTATTTCTTGCACATGCTTAGGGCTTACCAGAATTCTAAATAAATAAATTCCCACATATACTCAAAGTCTTATTGAGGGCCAGCACTAGATATCTTACACCCTGATGCAGTCTCTGAGGGTCCTAAATTCTGAGATTCGGTGCGGCCATATGAGCCCTGACGCTGGTTCTGGGTTTATGTGAATAACAAATCGGTTATTCTTAATTCGGTTAGAGTTGACTTTAGAGTACCCCTTGTATTATCGCAAAGTTGTTGTTTCATTTATCGCCAAGCTGCTGTTTCGTTTATCACCAAGTTGTTTTTTCATTTATGGTACCCTGAGTAGTTGAATGTTATGGAAACCCTATTATGATGTAATCGTTTGCATTATTCCGGGAAATTTTGAATCATGGGATGTTTTGTAAGGGCTTTTGTGGTGTGTGTGGTTTCGGAAGTACATCGCTTGTTTCATCGTTTCGACGGTAGAATGGCTGAATGTAGTAAGATTAATTTGAAGTTTCTGTATGATTTGAAATAAAAGGGGAAAACTGCAGTTATTGACTGGTGTGAAAATGAAGGTTTACTTAGTAGCCATTTTCCGGACAGTTCGGAATACGTAGAACATTTTTTACTCTTATTATGTGAAGATGCCAATATACGGATTCTAGTTCAGATAATTTTAGGAAGTTTTGGGATGTGGTTAAGGAATTTTGTGAGCCACAGATTGAATACGAACGAATTTCTAAAGGTAAGTTCTAAAGGTAAGTTTTTTATGTTATTTTATTGTTTGATTTAAAATGTAGTTTATTGAGATTATGTATTTTTTGTTTGCCTCTACAGTAGAATTGGGTGCTCCTTTGACTTTTTAAGCGAAAATATATCGATATATACGTGCATAAAGAAGGAAGTGCGCAATGCCATTTTTGTGCAATTCTGGGATGTTTTTTTAAGTGAAAATAGGTCAATGTGTACATGGATACTGAGTTTGTGCAATTCTTTGTCTTGTTATTTTGGCTTTATGTAGGTGTGATTTTTGGCGGAAAAGTTGCCGCTACACAAGCCAAAATAACAAGTCAAAGAACTGCACAAACTCGGTATCCATGTGCCGGCAAAAATCGCCAAGGGGTATCCTAAAATATACTTTTACCCTTAATTCAAATAGCCCTAAATGTAATCTTTGGGTCTATGAGTATCATCAACAAAATCTATTTTTAGAATTTGGAAAGAAATTTTTGGAAAATTTTTCCTTGTCAATATTTTTTAGCACATTTAACTTAAATCTGTAATCATCGCCAAGCGTAATGTCAACATGAAAGGTTACCATACTCCCTTATTATTCAATTACTACCGTAAAAAATTTAGACATCACTACATAAGTCATTACTCAAGTTGTCATGTTTTGATAAACATGCGGTGATGAAAGGAAAGTATAATAAATAATGATTCGCCAGGTTGGCGTTAGATCAACAATGTATCTATGTGGAATGTTTCGGTACCAAGCAGATCTGCAGCATCGGGGCCAAATTACTGATCGTACAAATTTATGCTAAAATGACTGTTTCTTCAATAATAAGGTATTTTATTTAGTGTCAAAGTGAAATTAAGAGTCAGGACTCTCCAGATGTTTTATTATGCGCAGAGGGGGAAATCAAATGTGCATGCGTAAAGCCTATGAGAAAAACGTTGTTGGTGGTTTTAAGGTTCGGATTTTAGATCACTCCGGATATTGGACGTCTGGATTTCGGACTTTGTACTGTACTTCCTATCTTAACATTTAGCTTGAAATATTTTTATTTCTGTTGTTGCTATTGAGACTAATTTCACTTGCCTGATATCAGAATAAGCCACAAACTTCATTGTGGCAAGAATGAAGATTACACCTGTCGTTGGCAAGAGCCTTGGGCACCATACAAGTGACAGTAAAAAATTTTGCTCAGTCTCTCCCCCCCCCCAATTTTGAAGGATGGTACCCTGGGCGGAGGGTTTCGAGGGTCTTCCATCTCTCTTCTCTTACCACTAACCTTTTAAGAGGACTTTCAGCTCATCGCATAATTAGAGTACTCCCATACACAAACATCTATGCCTTCTCTAGGATTTGAAACAAGACTCTACAATAAGGCAGTCAGTCGCTAACCGCTATTCCAGCTGGGTGGCATTGTCATTTCTTACGTGAAGTAGTGACAGAAAGACCTCCAGATAAAGATAAAAACTTCCTTGAGGTTTAATGTTCAACGGTTTCAAAATTTTGAATGAAACCAATGCAATTTGAAAGTATTTTCAGAAATTACATTAATTTGACCACCTGTATCAATTTTTTTAATAGCAGGAAAGTTATTACTCCCTACCTTATTTAGCTTAAAAATACTGTCATTTCTTATGTGAAGTAGTGACAGAAGGACTTCTGTATAAAAACAATGACTTTCTTGTTGTTTCATGTTCAATAATAACCAATGAGGATAAAAGAAAAAGTTTTATTAATCGCAATCACATAAAATATTTTTATTTTAATAATTTATGCTTTAATTCAAACAGTTTGATTTCTATCTGTACATATTAGTTTCTTTTGACAAATGGCATGCTTTTAACACATATTCTAACATTTAATGATTTAATTTTTTAATAAAAAGCAAAGATATTAAGCAAACAAGAAAAATCTTTATTATACCTGAAATATTCTTAAAGATTTATACATAATATCACCTAAATGATAATGAAAATATAAATTTAGAATGTATAGTTAAAAAAAAAAATCTCAACTATTACCTGTGCCATAAACTTCTACACCAGAATGGAAAACACCGAGGCCTAATGCAGATGTGTACTCATTTATCCAGTACTAGAAATAAAAAAAAATACTTTTTAAATATATAATAGAACAATACTGTCATATTCAAATGTTTATACAAATTTTCTTATTCATAACTCTATCACTGACAAAATGCACTTTAAATGTAAATAATAACCAGAAGTAGGTAAAAGTTACTTATAACGTAAGAACTGAATTTAGTCAAAAGTTGTTAATCCGAACTCGTCGGGACTTCGGCAATTCCGGATTATCGATTTTTCCGGATTACACATCATCAGTTTAAATCTGGTATGATGGCATGCAGATATTATAAAATTAAAAATATGAAACCGTAATTTATGAAATAAAGAACAATTATGATCTAAATAGTATCAAAATTTACAAAAAAAAAAAAAAAAAAGCTTAATATTTATTTGTTTACCTTTATTAAACATTTCTTTCAATGTAAGTTGTTTAAGTTGCTTTGTTTTTTATGTGATAATACATTCTCTTTAATTCTATAAACTGATATAATTTCTTGTTCATTTACAAAGTTCCGCTGTTCCAGTCCTATAATTGCTGTGTCGAGAATACCAACTAATTTGTCAATCGAAATTTTTTCGTTTTCAACAACCTCTGTTACTTTCTTCGCTATTGGAAGCGAATTATAATGACGAGGCATTTGATTTAAATCATATCAAAGACAGAGTATATCGAAATGAAATACTACATTTAGTAAGCAATTATAAGCCAAATAAAATAAAAACATCTGCCCTGAAGATAAGGACAGTGCTGACATATCAACTTCCTATTCATTGTGCACGCAGCAGCGTTAAAGATAAACAAAGGATATGCCTTTATCCATTTTTTGCAGCAATTCCAATTTTTGTTTAATGGACTTCGAAACATACTTTCGCTTTGTAGATCCTTTACATATTAGTAAATATATATCAGAAATTCTATTTGACATAATCGAAAGTTCAAGCTTACTTTTATAAAATTGCTCTAAAAGTCTGCAAAAAATAATAAGCCGAACCCAATTCAAAGATTAAAGAACAACGCAATCTGCAACTTTAACTGAAATAGATGATCAGATAATTTTAGCTGAGCTTATACCGTCTGTTATACATTAAACGCGCATGCGTAAAGGTATTACGTGAATACGCAAACGCCTATGCGCATGCATGAACACATTATACGTTGACGCATGCGCAGAAAGTTTGTAGCTTTGAGTTCCGGATTATAGATCATTCCGTTATGGGTGTCCAAATTAACGACTTTTGACTGCACTTTTTCTGATGGTGGCCATTGCTTGTTTACATTTGAAACAGCAGAGTAGTGGATTTGTTGCCAATCTAGAGAAATGTAGCTTTGCAACAACAAAGATAACGCCTTCATTTATTATTGCGAACTAAATCATGCTTAATCCTTTCTGGAATTTTTTCGAGGAAATAAGTGCTTAAGATTTACTTCGTAATTTTTAAATACAAATATTTTCAGTTTTTATGTATTTTTGCCTTGTCGCGAAGTGAAAACTGAATTAATTGAATAAGAAATACTAAATCGTCTGTGAAAAACTGTTTCTTTTTTGTTTTGTTTGCTTAATTTCTTTTATACATCACTCTAGCTTTATTATAGTATTTGAATAGAACATGTGTCAACGATTAGATAATAATGATATAAATTCTGTGCATTCTGAGTTATAATATGAACGAAATACAATACTGTTAAGTGCACCTAGTGCCAGAGTGTCGCTATGGTAAAAAAATAAAGTTAATTTTGGTAAAGTAAACTTTAAGGTACCCCTTGTATTATAGCGAAGTTGTTGTTTGATTTATCGCCAAGTTGTTGTTTCATTTATAGTAGCCTGAGTAGTTGAATGTTATGGAAACCCCATTGTGACATAATCGGGTGCATGAATCAGGAAAATTTTGAATCATGGGATGTTTTGTAAGCGTTTTTGTGGTGTGTGTTAAAACCGTTTACATGGATTTGAATGGTTTTGTAGGAAGAAAGGCTCAGATGGTCACTATATGAAGCGTTCGATCAGAAAGAGTACCTGATTTGAAAAAGTCATTTGAGTACGATTGATATTTTGATTTTTATGTGGCTCTGGGTGTACGAAGCGAACTTGAAAATCATAGTAAGTGAATATTTGCTTTTGGTAGTGCTTAAATGTATAACATGTTTTTCCTTTTTTATGTTATTTTATTGTTTGGTTTAAAACGTATTTTATTGAGATTATGTATTTTTTGTTTGCCTATATTGTAGACTTTGGTGCCTGTCCGCGGGATGATTGCTCCAGAATGAGTTCCTTGGTTCATATCCATAAGATCCAGAATAAAGTTCCTTGGTTCCAGAGGCTACCATATGAGTGACTGCTGTGGGCGGCATCCATGTTCTTCAATGAAGGCGGCAATTAAAATACGTGTGCAGCGATTCCTTGTGCAAACGGAGTTAGGCCGGTTTTAAGTGTTTTCAAGAACTTGATTTAAATTTCAGGTGTTTTTCTCGACCATTGATTATGGACTTATTGAATGTGTAGCCAGCTTCATTTTGAGGACGCTTAATTAATGTTTAGGACATTTTTGTTTGTATTGAATGCCAGTGTTTTGGAGACCAGGTAAAAATATTATTTGATGAATGATGGTTATATTATATTTTCCTAAGACTCTGATATTGTTGAAATTTATTTTTCTGTGTTTTTATTCTTTATTATATTGTTAATAAATTGGTTAAGTTCAAAATCTTTTATTGTCTTCAATGTCTGCACAACATATCTCAGGGAGCTTTTATTGCTACTACTGCTAAATGTTTAATTTCTTTAAACTTTAAACTTTGCTTTAGCATCAACATGGATAAAGTTAAAAGAGTGCGCAATGCTATTTTTGTGCAATTCGGGGATTTTTTATAAGTGAAAATAGGTCAACGTGTACATGGATAAAGTCAAAGGAGTGCGCAATGCCATTTTTGTGCAATTCGGATTTTTTATTTTTATTTTTATTTTATTTTTTTTTTTTTTTAAGTGAAAATAAGTTGATGTGTACATGGATATCAAGTTTGTGAAATTGTTTGTCTTGTTATTTTGGCTTTACAAAAATTGCCGCTTTGCAAACCAAAATAACGAGTCAAAGAATTGCACAAAATCAGTATCCATGTGCCACCAAAAATCGCCAGGTTTCGCCAAGGGGTACCCTAAACTAGACTTTTACCATAAATTTTAAGAAATGCATTTATTCTATTGTGGTTTATGTGCTGCCGCAAAGTAGGTTTAATTCAATCCAATAAGTTTAAACGAAATGCAAGAAAAAATGTGTATAATTTAATATTCCGTACAAGTCATGTGGTGTACACATCAGATTTTTTACAAAAAGATCACAAAACTATCGACATTTATCATTATTTGACAAGCATTATCAATACATGAAAAGTAAACAAAAAAACAAAATTTACAAATTGGAATTGTTAAATAAGGATGATGGGATACACTATGCATACTATTTTGTATTATATTATCCATCACTATTGTTCTGTCTTGTGTTAACAGCAATCTGTTTTTTTTTTTTTTTTTTTTTTTGCTTAAAAGTATAACAGCCCAAATTTGGCATTGTGCACAATAAACATTATATTACACGATACATTACTATTTATCTTCTCCTGTACAAAACTGTTTTTGCTTAACCCATTAGCCGCTGGTGTTGCGTTGACGCAACAGTCAAAATAAATGCATATATAAATATAACTACCTAAGATATTTTATACCAGCAGATGATTTTGTGTAGGGAATATTATGAAGATTATTTCTGTAGAAAAATATTTGCCTTCAACAATCATTTTGTTTATAATAATTAATCTCATACTTAAAGCAAAATTTTCCACCGGGAATTTTTGCTGAAAATATTTAACGAAAGATCGCCATCTTTATGAGTGATCTATTTTTAGTCAAGGTCACCGTTTATCAGAACATTACATCAATCAGATGTTTATATTTGTGTTGGGAAGCAAGAGAAAACAGGTGTTGCCCTGAGGCAGCAACGTCAGCAGGAATTGGGTAGTCAATCTCCTTTTTCACTCATTCCTTTTGATGTTCTGGTTCATGTTGTTGTTGTTTAAAAATTTCTAGAACGAGGTATCTTACACTAGAAGAAGCCCTTCAAAGATTTTTTGATGAAGAAACAGATGATGATAATGTTAATTATGACCAGAATGAAACTGATAGTGTTATTGTTCCCCAGAAATTGCAGAAACTAGTGACGAAGAAGAAAGGAATGCCAATGTTTTAAATAACGATAATGATATTTTACCAAATGATACTGCTGGGGAAGTTGAAATTCACGTAAGAAGTAAGTTTCAGCCTTCTAAAAGCAGTTATAGTCATACTAAAAAGTTTAAAAAGCAGAAAATTGAAATCTTTAAGTGGATAAAAAAGGAACTATTAGTTACGTCTCAGGAAGAACATGAAGAAAGAGATAGAAGAGAAATTATAAAAGACAAAATACAAGGTAAAACTAGTGCACAGATTTTTGATTTTCGTTTTGGTTTACACATTTACTCTCTTCTCGTTGAACAGACAAGTATATACACTCAGGAAAAGAAAAAAAAAAAAAAGGCCCAGAATTTATTTATTGCAACTGAAGCCTATATGAGAAGATTTACTGGAATATTACTGCTTACAGGATATTATTCTTTATCTCAAGAAAAATGCATTGGTCTTTTGATTTTGATAAGAACATTTCTGTTCCTGTTGTACGAGAATCTATATCACGTTTGCAGTACAGGAATATGAAGCAGAATTGGCATTTGACAATAGTCAAACTGACAACACTGATAAATTATATGAGGTGAAACCGTATCTAAACTTGCTAAATATCACCACTTTTTACTACTGGAAATATGAAGTCTCTTTTAGATTTCAGACGGGAGAATGCATTATTTCTTTTGCAAACTCCTATTGAGAGTGTAGAATTAGACAAAAATAGATCAGCAACAGGAAGATCTAGTAAATTCAGCATTCAAAAACCATTGCATGGAGATGGTATGTATTTTATCGT